GGGCAGCCGTGGCGGCCGCGGGGGACCGCAAGGGGCGGCGGAGAGGCGGCGGAGGCCGGCCGCGGGCCGCGCCGACCATGCCGCGCGACGACATGGCCTCCCTGATCCAGCGCATCGCCCGCCAGGCGTGCCTCACCTTCCGGAGTGGCGCGGCGGGCTCGGACGCGCTGCCCCCCGGCTTTCCCGAGAACCTGAGCAAGCTGAAGAGCCTGCTGACCCAGGTCCGCGCCGAGGACCTGAACATCGCGCCGCGCAAGGCGCCGCCGCAGCCGCCGCCACCCAGCCTGCCGCCCGTCACCTACATGCACATCTACGAGACGGCGGGCTTCAGCCTCGGCGTGTTCCTGCTCAAGAGCGGCACGTGCATCCCGCTGCACGACCACCCGGGCATGCACGGCATGCTCAAGGTACTGTACGGCACGCTGCGCATCAGCTGCATGGACAAGCTGGACGCGGGCGCGGGGGCGCGGCCGCCGCCCGAGCAGCAGTTCGAGCCGCCGCTGCAGCCCCGGGAGCGGGAGGCCGTGCGGCCGGGCGTGCTGCGCTCCCGGGCCGAGTACACCGAGGCCAGCGCGCCGTGCGTGCTCACGCCGCAGCGGGACAACCTGCACCAGATCGACGCGGTGGACGGGCCCGCCGCCTTCCTGGACATCCTGGCCCCGCCCTACGACCCGGACGACGGCCGGGACTGCCACTACTACCGCGTGCTGGAGCCGGTCGGGCCTCGGGCGGCCTCGGGCTCGGCCTGCGAGCTTCCCCGGGAGGTGTGGCTGCTGGAGACCCCGCAGGCCGAGGACTTCTGGTGCGAGGGCGAGCCCTACCCGGGCCCCAAGGTCCTTCCTTGAAGCGGCCGGAACCCAGATCTGCTGCCCCCACCGCAAGGGCTGTGTCCTCCCTCCCTCTCCCCCCCGGCCCGGGCTACGGATCGTCAGCGGCAGCCTCTTCCTCCGCAAGCACAGGCCGTGGACCGCAGCCACCCGGCACGGCTATGGGGGCGAGGTGGGGGAGGGCGGCCAGGTTACTTCCTGGTCCTGTCACTGCCACCGGGGCTTTGGTTGAAGGGAGTGTGGCGGGGGACTCAGAGCTTCCATCCTAAAGCCATAACGGAAATACTCTTCCTCTGTTTCCCATTCCATACGAAATACGCTAAGTGGTTTTTCAGCCCCTCCCCCTTGGGTTTGTTTTCTTTCATGCCCTTAGGACTCTTTGCTTCTTCACAGTTTTAATTTATTACTGACTGCATGGCCTTGAATTGTTTTCAGTTCAAGTCATTGGTTTAAAACAAACACTAGGTTTCTAAAGATGAGCTGCTTTTAAACTTGAGCAGTCCTGCATCCCAGTGAAAACTCATCTTTTCGGAGTTGGGGTTGAGTCTCGTGACTCTGCAGGATTTCTTTCCTCCCTTGCCGGGTTACCACCGCTGTTTACCGAGGCAGGCTCCGTAAGACCCTCACACCGGCCCTTAGAGTTTATCTTTCCCTCTATTTGTAGAGGTTTTTTTTGTTGTAGATTCACCTTTAAAGGAAGTCTGTATTCTCAGATGGCTTCTGTTCTAATCTTGCTGTTCTTTAAGGGTTGATAACCAGAAGATTCAGAGGAGCTGAATCTGTAAATGCTTCCAATAACTGAATGTAGAGCCCTAACCACTGTTCCACGGTCTTCCTGTAGTAGAGGAGAAGGTACCAACAGTCTCCCTTTCTCCCCAGAGCCCGGAACTTGCAGAGGGCTGTGGTCCCAGCTGTGTCACTGGGATGGTATCTCACCCCTCTCAAACAAGAGCCAGGGCAGGCTTCTGATACCCTTTCCTGTAGGAAGAGGCGGAGGGGGTGGGAAATAATAGACGTATTTAGTATGTGGATGTGCATATGTGGCCTGCAGGGTTGAGAATTTAAGGACCACTTTAGGGCACAAAATTGGAGATTAAACACTTTTCCTAACCTTCACAGAGAATAGTTGTGCTGTCTGAAATATTTTTTTTATCATTTGAATATGCTGAGCAAAGTTACCTGTTTACAGGTGTCTCCACACCATCTGCTTCATGCTGTGGAACACTTTCTCCCTTTTTACTTATGGGACTCTTCACATCTTTCTATAAAGACAGACTGTAGAAATAAACATCAAAATCTACCCAGCTGTCTTCTAATCCCTTCTAAATGACTTGCTAGAGTTGTAATAGAATTGAAATATCTGTAATAAAGGAAGACTTAAACTGGTGACAAGTGTTGACCCCAAAGGGAAACTGCTCCTTTGTATACTACGTTACAAAGACCCAGGTTGAAGGGCCGTTTGTTCCTAGTTGTTAAAGTAGTATGAAAAAGGAAATTATTGATGAATGGTTTGGGTTTTATTTTAATAAAAGTGAAACTTAGCACAGCATGCTAGTGAAAAGCTGTTGGAACCCTAACCACTGGCGAATCCCCAGGCCTTAGCAGGGTTGCTGGAGGTAGGGAGCTTCCCTTAGTGTGGTTTGAAATGCCTTTGCGTCTTGAGGCTCCTCCAGCCCCTCTGTGGAAAATCTAGACAGCAGAGGATGGTTTTAAAACTTAACAGTGTTTTCTTTTTTCACAGCGTAGCAATGAATGTGTGGTTTTCAGCCACATGCCTTTTTTGAAATGTTGCAAAAAGTTGATTCATTTTCAAAGTTGAGAGTAATGTGTATGTTACTGCATAATCTGGAGTGCTTTACACTGCCCTGAAGAAACTTACTCTAGGACAAGGACAGCAATAAAGAGTCATTGTGAAGGACTTTATTGCAAATATATAAAAGGTCTCCATTACAAGCAGTTTGAAAGAAAAAACTAAGGTGCTTTTCAAAAGAATAACTAAAATTGTTCTGGGCTAAAACAGCAATACTGTGTTTTTAATTTAGTTTGGTAAAAACAGCAAAACTTCTGTTTCACTGATAATACGTTGAGTAAATTAACAGTGAAAACAAGATGTAATGTGTTTTAATGAGCTGCTGTGAAGAGAATAGGCTCATTTCTAAGGCAAAATGTGCAGGAAAACCCTTGCACTTCTATGCATAAACTTAGTTACCAGTGTGCGGCTCATGTTTCCAGATAGTTCTGCAATACAGAGTGTTTTATAACTGGGGTAAAAGCTGCCTCTCTTTTCATTAGGAGACACCAATGAGCACAATGCTGTTAATAGCTTGACTTTTCTGCTGAGAAATAAATGCAATAATTACCGCTCATGAATGTGAAATTGTCCAAATACATGTGAAGCTTCAGTTCATAGTGACTGGTTACATCAGTGTAGAGTTGTGGACCTTCCTAGTGCTTTGAGAATTGACAGGTTTGAACCCCAAGGGCTGTGTGTTAAATAAAATGCCAGCCTCCTTTTTAAGAAATACGTGTTGTATCAACTGGAGCAGGTTATCTGAGCTTTTAAAACCTAACTCACCGTTTTCTAGCTTTCAATCCCCACATGCAATGTAAGTTCCTTGATTTTGGCTTACCCAGAGGGCCTTGACCTCTCCTCTACTGAAAATGATTCTGAGTCCTCTGCTCTAGCTCTCTTGCTCCACCAAGAAGCAATACAGCCCCACCTCAAACCTCTGCCTGTGACTGACTATACAACTCTACCCTGATAGCCTCCACTCACGACTACTGGCCTGAATTCAGAGCTTAGGGTCACACAGAATCCAACCACTAATCAATCCATTGCATAGCTAAGAACGGATTTTATCATTGTGAATGATACCCCATCTTCAAATCCAGGAATAAAATCAGTAGATGTATGGAAAATAAAGGCATGTTTAAAAGTATTAAAAGAAATGTTGATTATTGTAAAATGGATAAGGAAACATTACCTGTGATAACTATATTTTAAATACTGTTAAAAGTTCATAGTCTGTTCTGTAAGATTATGTTGTACCAAGAGCCAGTAACCTACAGATTTCTAAAGTCCAAGAAATAGTTTAAAGTTAGTTTATTTCCTTGAGAGTGGTCTTTGAAAATGCATCTGAAGCTAATGTCTAACTGCGTTATTTGCTGTAACAGAAAAAAAAAAAGCTGCTGTCGTATTAAACATTAAGAAAACAAGCTAGAACAAGGAAATAAAGGTAACTTTTATCCTCAAATGGAAACACAAGACAAATATGTCCATCTTTTTTTTTCCTTGCCGAATTTGATTGTAGTTTAGACTGGCAGCATTATAAGTATCTCTTGATACTGACTTCCTAACACACACACACACACACACACACACACACACACACTGAACTGTTAAAACACTTGTTTTTAAACAGTATTTGAAACAATTTGCCTTAATCTCATTATATCACCTGGCTTGTGAACACTTAAGAACCTAATTTGGGTTTAATTTACCTGTGTATAATGAATCTCACCACCTCAGAATCCTGAATCTTTAAGGAATTACTCTCCACAAAAACAGTAGGCAGAATATCTCATGTTACCATACAAAGTAGACAAGAGATTAGAGGAAGCAGTCTTACCTTTGTGTGCAGATTTCTTGGGCAGATTTTTTGAACATCTGTGAAAATTGGCCTGAATGTTTCAAGTTGGGAAGGAAATGATTCAAGGTACTGCCTTACTATGTTAGCATCTGGAATAGAAGGCACAGTTGGCCCTGAGCAAGTGCTGAGGTATACACCTCCTTACAGCTTGTTGGTGAGGTATGCCACCACACTAAGCCAAGGTGAAAGTGTTTATGTAACCAGCTAGCTCCAAAATGTCTTCAGTTTTATTTTTTAAATGATGTTTAGTCTGTGGCTTTTTAAACAGTGGTTTACATTATCTTGATGAAGATGCTCAACAATTAGAGTTTGGGAAGGTGATTGAGTATTGTACACAATTTAGGTGTACTATATCCTAACATAATAAGATTTTAGGGGGGGGGGGAGTATTGGTTTGAAACAATTACCAAAAATTGTCATTGCTTTATATTTGCCAAAGGTAGATAAATAATGTGCTGACAGCTGAGAAAGCAGACTCTAATGGGAAATCATCAGTCACAAGAAAAAATCTGACACTTGGGTTTTGAATTCGCTAGAGTTCTGGAAAAGTTTTCTGCATCCTGGAAATATGGATGAAGAAAGGAGATGCAGAAGGGTTGGTGACCTCCATAAACTGACTCAAATTCCAGTGACTGCTACTCTGAAATACAGGCCATGGATAAACAGCCCTCAGCCTGAGGGAGTTTTGACAGGAGCTATAAGCAAAGGGAGGGATTCTCAGATGTAGCTGAGCGGTGGGGGCTCCAGCAGTGACATCTGTGAGAAGCAGTGGATATTAAATACTTAGGTTCAGATTTCAAAGTTAAGATAACCACAAAGATGATCTCTTTGCTTTGTATGATAGGTGGTAAGTCAGACTACTGACTTGTGTTTTTAAAAATGCTCCCAGTAAAAGGATAGTGTATTTTGTAAACCATTACTCTTAGAGGATGCTATTTACCTGTTAAAGTTAGATTGCCTTGGAGAGTTTTAAAGTCAGGGATTGGTCTGTCTTATCTAAAAGCTTAGTATCTTGAGACTCACTTCTAGACCCACCAAGCTTGTAGTAGATAAATGATCCTTCCAAATAAGGGCAATCAGCTGGGAAGCCAGGACTGGAGAGAAATGAGTCCTGGGGTAATTCCTGTGTGACCATGAATGTTGTCAGTGTCTAAGCATCTTTGATCTGAAGAGGCGATAGCTCTTTCAGAAAGTTTTCTGTGGTCTTGAGATTAATCCTGGAACCGGAAAGTTTCCAGCTTGACCATACCACCCACTTTCCACAGAGCCATGTCTCAACTGAGCTCCAGGTTTTGGTGAGAATTGTGACAGCAGCTGTAAGTGCAACAGACACCTCCAAGTGGGCACTTGTTTATAAGTATTTATTTTCCAGAGCCTGCTCTGGAGCAGAGAGAAGCTATAGGCTGTTAAAGGCTGTTAGAGAGGATGGAGCGATGAGTCAAAACGCCTCCCCACTTTTACACTAATTCATGGGGGAAATCCCAGAACGCTAGTCATGGGTTGTGAATGGAGATCAGAGAGGCTTGGTGTCCACAGGCTAGCAAGGAAACAGAGGTCTCGTGTTGGTCAAGCCCTTCAGCCCACTGGAACCTAGTTTTCTTCTGTTCATAGGTTACAGCTTTGAATGGCTGTTTTAGGCCCCCACAAACTGCATAAATGATTTCTGCAGCAAGAACTGTTGTTGAAAAGTATTTATTTACACCATAGTCATAAACCATTATCTGAACTTCAATTAGTGGTTTTACGTTAGAATAGACTGTTTATTTTTCCACAACTATTAAGAGCTAATAACCAAACGAGCTAGCTGCAGTTAACAATATGTACATTCTTATCTGAAAATTTGACTACAAAGGTAACACTTTTAAGTCACAAAACAGAGCATACAAAAATATACTTTCTAAAAAAATTTCAAATATTAATAGGCAGAAATATACAGCATACTTAAACTGAGGGAGTGATTTTTTTTTCCATAGTAAGGCATCCCGCCTACATGCAGACCCTGTAACACTGTCCACATCACACAAGGCACCAAGAACACTTCAACACAACTGCATGCATCCAAATTCTAGAGAGTGTATGTACATCCCCCTTTAAATAAGTTAACCTCTTATTCCTTTCAAGAGATCATAAATTCTGTGCATGTTCCCCTACCCCAAAGGTTCAGAATATGAAGAACAGTGCACATCAAAAATACACAAAATCTGAATAGGTGTTCATTGAAAAAATAGTCTGTTTCTCAAGGAAGAAGCCCATGTTGCTTTGTCCCTCCCATCACTGCCCTTACGTTCTGTGCGTTTTTAGTGCGCATTGCTTAAGGGTAGAGACAACCAGGTAAACTTCAGTTCACTGTTCTAGGGCAACAGATTGTGCCAGGAAAGGCCAGGCTCCACTCACTATCCAACCTCCCCCAGATCAGTCCCAAGCTATAAAGTGCAGATCAGGTTTGCTGTGTCTTTTTGCTGTCCCACTCCCAGGGATCAGCATCTCCCAACCAACTGTAGAACAAATCTCAGGTCAACTGGCATCCAGGGCCAAAATAATGGGAATGGTGAGAAACAGTCCTCAAGCAAGGTCAGGCCTCGGCCCTCTAGCCTGGGGGGGATGGGGAAGCCCGCACCCAACCCTCTTCTGAGCATCCGCATTGCCTCCCTAGGAGAGTAAAAAGGCTTTGCTTCTAAGAAGGGGCATGGCTGGGCTCCACTAAGGTCCTTTGCCCAGGTATCGGAGGGGCAGGGAAGGGTGGTAGTGTGTGTCGTGCAGTGGATGGAGGGCCTCTGGGGCCTGGAGGAACCGGTGTGCTGGCCGCAGCTTCGTCTCATGGTGTCCGGGTCCGAGAGGTGCAGGAGGCTAGTGGTCCTCCCCCAATCGTGCTGTTACCGCACAGGCTGGCCCCGGCCTGCGAGCCCCCAGGACCAGAGGCTGTGGAGGGGGCAGGCACTGAGGATGAGGGAGCACTGCTCTTCCGCTCCTTCTGTCGCAGGTGGATCTTGGTGTGCCGCTTCCTTTCGTCACTCCGGGCAAACTTTCGGCCACAGTAGTCACAGGCGAAGGGCTTCTCCCCGGTGTGGGTGCGGATGTGAGTGGTGAGGTGGTCACTGCGGCTAAAGTTGCGCATGCAGATCCGACACTGGAAGGGCTTATGGCCAGTGTGGATTCGGATGTGCCTGGTCAGCTCGTCGGAGCGGGAGAACCGCCTGTCACAGCCTTCTGCTGGGCACGGGTAGGGCCTCTCGTGTACTGGTGTCTTGCTGGGTCTGTTGGGGTACTTGCGTGGCCTCAGGATGGGCCGCAGTGGCAGGTGATGCGGGTTATAGGCTGCAGCAGAGCTGCTGCCAGGCAGCCTGGGTCCCTCAGTGCCTCCAGTGGCTCCTGGTCCTGTGACCCCAGCACTGGGCCCCCCCAGGGTAAAGTTACGGATGGTGGAGAGTGGCGTGAGTGGAGGGGGGACCCGCAGGGAGTCCAGGGGGCAGGGAAACGGTTTACGATCTGGGCCAGCTGCAGCATGTGGGTCTCTCTGGCACGGAGATGGAAAAAATCCAGGATAGTCTGGGATCATAGGGATGAGACCTGGGTCCATGGCTGGCTTGGGGGATGGGTAGGAAGGAGGTGGCTGGTAGGCCAGTGAGGAGGTGGAAGTGGTGGGTGGCGACAGGAATGCAGAAGGGTCCTGGTAGAGCTCTCCCGAACAGCCAGAGTAAGGAGGAGGAGGTGGTGGTGGAGAGTAGAGGTGGTCCAAGTCAGGCTGAGTCTGAGACATGGCGCACACACCCAGGGGTCCTGTGGCCAGTGGGTTGGGGGAGGCAGAGGTGACGCTGGATGAGGCTGTGGTTGAAGCTGGAGGGGTGACCCCTTGCAAGATGCCTGCACTCACAATATTGATAATGCCTTCTGGGTAGCAGCTGGCACCAGGGTACTGGGGATCAATGGAGAACTTGCCCATGTAAGTGAAGGTCTGGTTTCTGGGCGCAGAGATGGGAGCAAAGCTGGTAGGATACGGAAGATCCAAGGGCCTCTTCTCCGCGGGCATGTCAATGTTGATCATACCATCTGAGGAGGGAAAAGGCAGAACGGAGGTGGCATGATGAGAAGGCAGCCAACAAGCAATTCTCACCCCCTCTCCTGCGGCCATTCCCAAACCGCAGAGCTCAGGCAAAGTCCCACCAAGAGGTGGGGGAACTGAAGCCTGGAGACAGTAAGTAGAGGCTGGCCCAAGTGTAGGACTCAGGAACTACCTCCAAGAAAGCGGTGCGTGCTCCTCCTCCTTCCCCTGCCCCCCCCATCTGTGGCTCTAGTTCCCAATTAAACACCCGATAATAGCAGCAACCGAATTAAATAATTTCCCATCTGCCTCCAACCTCTCCCCCACTCCTTTGCCTTGTGGTCCCCCCGCTGGGGCACCGACACAGACACCACCCAAGAACGGACCAATCGCAGCCAGTATAGAGAAGGTGCCAGCCTTGGGAGAGGGGAACCCCAGAAGGGGTGGGTGGGTGATGTTCCCACTGTTCTCTTTCCTGGTGCCATCTCTCCCTCTTCCCTCTCCCGCTGCGCTTTAGCGAAGGACTGCGGGTGGGAAAGGGGGCTGTAGAGGAAGGAATCTAGGTTTCTCTTCTATCCCAACATCCTCAGCCTTGCCTGGCACCCGCTGCGCGTCCCCGCCCAAGCCCCAAGCCAGCGGCTGGCCTTCGAGGAAGGCGCGGGGGCCGCGGGCGGGCGAGAGAGACGACTTTGCACAGCATCGCTAAGGAAACCCGCCGCGCCTGTGCCCCCGCGGGCCTCCCTCGGCAGTCCGGGGGCAGTTTCCCGATCTTGCTCGCCCTTCTCCTCCACCTCGTCTCGCTAACCCCTCCACTTGGGCCATTCGCAGGTGAGGCCGCGCCTCCTGACCGCACTAGGAGCGCAGCGCGCTCCAAGATCCTCCCGGAGTAGGCTCAGCCACCAGAGTGGTGCCGGCGCGCTTCCCTGCCACTAGGCTCTGCAGACGCGCACCTTTATTCCGGAGCCCGGAACTTCACAGTCATTTTGCCCCTACCAAGAAGCATAGTCCTGCAGATGGACCTGCTCCAGCCCCGAAGCCCAGGAGGGGCGCCTCATACACCCTGAACCCTGTTCCCTGACCAAGCTGGGTGCGCCTGGGGCGCACGCAAGCGGGTTTGGTGACCCCCCGTGCATCTGCCAGCTCGCACAGCCTCGGCGCCCTGGTCCTGGCTCTCTCCGGCTCCTCCTGCTCTCTTAGTCTCCAGAGCCAGGGCGGTCAGCTTCATCACCTCAAGTCCCCATCCTCTCCTCCAAGTCCCGCACACCCACCGCTCCCCACCCACCAGCTCCAAAGAAGACACGCGGCTTACCTCCGGCCACTCCGTTCATCTGGTCAAAGGGGCCTCCCAGTTCGGCATTGGGAAAGATGGTCACCGACGGGGCGGCGAGATCCTCCACCGGGTAGATGCTGTCAGGCAGCTGGTGCGTAAAACCACCGAGAGTTACTGGGATTTTGTCTACAGCCTTGGCGGTCATCATTTGATCCTCGCGCAACCTGGAGACCCAACTCCCTCGCTACCTGGAGTGCCAGAGAAGCCGTTTTGGAGAGGGGTTGGACTGAGTCTGGGTTGGTGTCTCCTTTTGCCCTCCACACTTATAAACGACCACCACCAAAAAAAAAAAAAAAAAAAAAAAAAAGAAAAGAAAAGAAAGAAAAAAATATCCAACAGAAATAAAACTAGCAAACAAGTTGTTGGCTTCCTAAAGAAGAAAAATGGCTATCTGCCACTGACTCCTGTCTGAGATCCGGCTGCTGGGGAAACAGCAGTTGCTGGTGTAGTGTTATTATAACAGTCAGTGTGTCCCCTCGCAGAGCTATTAATCAATTGCTGCTCTCTCAGACGGAAAGTGTTAGGCTCCAAGTATTTATGGGCAGGTCTTCAAAACCCGTGACGTCGCTGCCCATATATGGACTGAGGAACAGGGCTGGGCCAGGCGGCTTTTGCCGTCACATGGCCAATTTGCATAAGGGCTCGGCCGCGCGGGCTCCACCGGGCTCGCCAGGGGCGCTTCTCAGGCGGTGGACACCCGCGGGGGTCCCGACGGGCGCGCGCCTCGGCTGCAGCGCGGATAATCCCGGCTGCAGAGTTCAGCAGGGAGGGGGCGATCCCGACCCGGCAACGGTGGCCGCGGGCGGGCGAGCGCGCGGGCCCGGAACGCGGCTCAGCCTCCAGGGGCGGGGAGGAATTCCGGTTCGCCGAGACTTTCCAAAAAAGGCGAGGATCCGGTAGTGGCGGCTCCGCCTCCCCGGCCCTTGTTTGGGAGCCATTCCGGAAAATTAAACTTCGGAAAGAAACGGAGCGGAGCCGAGACACTACAGTCAAACCCCTCCTTCACTTTCTTGGCAGCTCAAAACCGCAAGCAAAAGAGAGGCAGAGAGAAGAAAAAAAAAGCTCCCCGCATTCACGGAAGCTGACTGCTTTTTTCTGAATTACTCGGTGGAAAGAAGTGGCTAGTGATAAGAGTGAATGCGGTGTTGCTTTTTTGGAAAGTCTGTTCTATTTATACAGGAGCGAAAACGGAACAGGTTTGGGCTGTTTGTTTGTTTAAGTATTTTTGGGTACCATGAGGCTGGGGTGGGGGGTAGACCAGAGGAGAGGCCGAGCTGCTGCAGGAGCTTCCAGAATTCCTCGGCTGGAGACGCCCCCTTCCTCTGCCCGCGCGCTCCCCGCCCCCCTCCAGCTGCTGCGCGGAGCGGGCGCCCTTCCCCGCCTGTCTGGGCGGCCCGCAGCGTGGGGGCGACCAGATGGAGGCTTGGATACTCACCCTGGCGCGCGCCCGCGCCCGCGCGCGCGCACACACACACACACACACACACACACACACACTTCCGCCACACGCCCTCCGCCGCCCTCCTACACACCCACTCACACTCTCCACACACACCTCCCACTCCACACCGCGCATGTGCGCCCGCCACCCCAGCAGGGTCCGCAGGCGGCACCCAGGACGCCCTGCGAAGACACTGTCCTCAGCCTCTCTCAGCGTGATCCAAGCATGAACATTTTCTGGGGGTGCATCCTCGCCGCGCCTAAACCGCTACTCCAGCGGTCATCTCCCTCTCCATTGCAAAAAGCCACCTAGATCCTGAGTGACAAGAAACGGCGTCGCCAACACCAGTAATGGAGTACCCACGACCCCCACACTTGTTTCCCTTTGCTAGTTAGAAATTAAAATAAATTAGACTAAAAATAAAAAATAAATAAA